TATGTGTTATACAACAATGGTTATATATATATATATATATATATATATATATATATAAGATCTAATACTATAACACTAAAAGAACTTTTTTTTAAAAAAATTAATAAATAGCATCGCTGTTAGCATTTTAAAATGACTCTGCACTAGCAATGACTACTTTGTATAATTTAAAAATTTAATTGAACTTCAAAATGTCATTTTCCTGGCATGTCCCAAACAATGTTTCCAATAATAACTAGCTTCAAACCTTCCCATAAATTTTTCAATATCTAAATTTTCTTATCTCAACCATTGTAAGCATTTCTAGAGACGCAGAGAGTATTATTTACAAAAACTTCGTTTAAAATAATTTTTTCTGTCAATAATTGGTTTGTTCCAAGAAAACCTGCCATTTTCTTGGCTACTTTTATTTAGTGGTTTATAACCAAAATAGATAGAGCCAGCAATTAATATTTTATGTTAATAGATTGATTAGATGCCCTCCTATATGAACTTATCTTGTTGCATGAATAAAGAACCAATTTTCTGGTTCAAAATCTATTTCAAATTTTTTTTCAAGGTCAGTAGGTTTTTGTGTTGTCATTTTCCTGGCTTCTTGAAATCACAAATAACAAAAACTACTTAGATTTATCTGAGTTATTTCAAGAAATCCTGTTGTTTTCTACAGAATATAAACGTCTTAGGCCAAAATATTTAATTAAAGTAAAGTTATATGCTATAAAATGGCGAATTTGTCATTATCCTGGCTGCTATTTTCCTGCCTTATGAAAGCCAGGGCATTGAAGTGTTACCAGAATTTTTTTTTTAACTGCTAATTCTGTAAGGAGGTAAAGCAAATAGTATTAACCAAGTACCAAGTTTATGTATGATTGTAATATGCTTGGATGCAATCAAAGTTATTTATTTATTTAATGATTGATTATTATATACAATTTTATTCTGTACATATCAGCAACATAAAATTTCTTGATTCTTTCTACAATGGATAAAAATAATTAATTTAGGCTATTTATGGTCCATCTAACATAAAGGCTTAAGTTGAGTTACTTACTATTAACTTAAAATGACTGTTTTTTAAACTTCTAAACTAATATGTCATTTTCCTGGCATTAGATGAATTTCTATTTTATTTTTTTTTCTCGAACAAATGTCCATAAACTACACTGATGTCTGTAAGATATTAATAAGTGTATCTAAAGAAGTATGCAAAAAAAAATTTGGATTATTTTGAAGACTTTAAATTTGAAGAAATTTTTTGGTCCGAATTGTCATGTTTAAAAAGAATCACCCATATATGCATATAAGTTGTCATATTAGGGATATTAGTATAATAAATATCCAGCTAAAGTAAAAATGTTATCAAAGCTGACGTATCAATCTGGCGATCAATAATAAAAGAAAGAATAAAAAAATAAAAACCAGGGTGAAATTCGATAGAATCAATTTTCAACCTCTCTCCTCAAGCAATCAAACAAATATTGAAGTTTTTTTATCTTGCCTTCATCGTTAATCATTAATTTCGATAACGTTTTTCCTTTTTTTGAATTTTGTGACCTCCAATATATTTCTAACTTTATCTTTGGCAAGGATAATAAAAACCTATATAAAGGGTTATATTAACAGATTTTCCTACTAATAAACCCCGTTCTCTATGTAAAATTCATTTGTCTCCTTAGTCTGAACAATTTCCAATAAACAATTTTTTTAAATCAGGAAATGCCCATTTTTTTGCAAACATTTTGAAAAAAAATAACTTATGAATATTATATTCGAATTATTTAAAAGTGTATTAATGAATGCTTTTGTTTTACAGTTCTTCTACATGCTAAAGGGGGACATGACATTAATAGTGTATGAAAGATATCATTTTAGGAACATAACGATTAAAGAGGGAGAAGTAAGTTTATAAATGAATTAATTAAAAAAAGAAAGAAAATACAAAATAAGCTTATTATAAGATGTCTTTTTCTATAAATATACTTCCCTTATGTGTTAGGTTTTTCTCTATCTATAGGAAACAATATAGATATTATTCTTTTTTTAATGTTATTTTAAGTAATAACTTAAATATGAACATACGTTAAGTTATACGTTAAAAATAATTTTGAATTTTTTTCAGAAACAAAAACTTAGTTACAAATTAACACTTTTGATTTATTTTTTAATCTTTCTGAAATAACTCTGGATATTTTAAACATAAACGATGCTATGGTGCAGCATATTGTCACACCAGTTACTGGTAAAGGACAGGGATGGGCAAACTACGGCCCGCCGGCCAACTGTACCGGAAGGTTTTATCCGGCCCGCGGATAGAATTTTAACTTGCCGACCCGTCGCAAATATAAACAATATGCATTATACATATTTGTCTACTTTGTTTAAAGCTAGCTTTTTATTCCTTTTTAATAAACTTTGATGACCTTTTTACTTTCCTTTTTTTCGTTCTACAAAACATAAATTGAGGAAAATAGCTTCAGACAGCTTTTCAATTGGTAACATGTTGAAAGCAGAACTTCTTCATAGAATAGCTGTAGAATGGCGCCAACAAGCGTTTGTCTTTCTCGAGGAGCAGACAATACGGAATCTAATGTAGGTGAATTGTGCTTCACATGTGGCAGGCAGCGCATTTTGAGCTCCAACGAGCGAATTTTTCATTTTTCTGCCGGCTTGAATTATTTATTGCGTATGGAAAAATTTCACACATGTAACGTTATTGTAAATAATGGTGAAATTATTATACGTATAAAAAAGCTACTGCTTGTTTAGTTATTTGTAAAAAAATTTAACTCTAAAATGGCGACTAAAAAACGCAAAGTTGATTCAGGGTGCTTTCTGTGATGAATGGACTTGGAAATATTTTTTTACAGTTGTTAAAGATAAACCAATATGTCTTATCTGAAATGGTGCTGTGGCAGTTCTTAAAGAATACAACATTAACCGACATTTTACAGCCAATCATAAGAATGCCAACTACGATGCAATGTCTGAATGTGAAAGAAGACAAAATGCAGAAAGTCTTCTTAAAAAAATTATCTGGCCGTCAAAATTTTGTTCAAGAATATAAATAGTTTTCAAGAAGCAGCTACGCATGCAAGTTACATTGTAGCATACAATATAGCTAAAAGTAATAAATCTCTCGGTGATGGGGAGTTTGTTAAACAATGAATGCTCCAAGTTTGTGATGTATTATGTCCAGACGGGAAAAATAATTTTGAGGCTGTAAGCTTCCCGCGAAAAACAGTGAGTTCTGGAATCGAAGCAATCGATAAAAATTTGGCAACACAATTGGAGCAAAAATTGCACAATTTAAATTTTGCTCAATAGCTATGGAAGAAAGCAATGATATGAATGATACTGCTCAATTATTTTTATTTATAAGAGGTGTCGATGAGAACTTTGAAATTACCAAGGAACTGGCGGGCATGCGTTCTTTAAAGGGAACTACAACGGGATGTGATATTTTTCGTGAGTTTCAGGAAGGGCAAAAATATGTAATATTACGATTGATGGTGCACCAAATATGACAGGAAAAATAATATGGATTCCTTGGACTCTTTAATCAGAACTATCCCGGGAATAAAGTTATTTTTCTCTACATTGTGTTATACATCAAGATGCTCTGTGTAAATCTGCATTGAATATGAAACCCGTGCTTGATGCAGTAGTAAAGCTTGTTAATACTATTCGATCTCGTGGGCTTACTCACAGGCAATTCCGAGATTTTCTTCAGTCTATGCAATCTGAATAATCTGATGTACTGTATGACACGAAAGTAAGGTGCCTTAGTGCAGGATGTGTCTTCGAGTTTGGCAGCTGAAAGACGACATTGTGTCGTTCTTCCATGAGAAACAATGTTTAGCAGAGTGCGAAATATTGGAAGATACAGAATGGCTTTCAAATTTTGCATTTTTCACGGATCTTCTTTATCATATGAACAACTTCAATGGTAAGATGTAAGGGAAAAATCAATTCATTGATGATATCTGGACCCACCTAAAAGCTTTTAAACTGAAGCTTAATTTGTTTGCTGGGCAGCTCACCAAGAACGACCTGTCTCATTTCTCGAGGTTAAATTCAATACCCTCAGTAAATAAAGAAAAGCTTAAGAGTTATGAAGATTGCTTGAAAAAATGCCATTTTGAGTTTGAGCACAGATTTTAAGATTTCAGTGCTATTCAAACAGAATTAGATATTTTTACCATGCCTTTCAACGTAAATTGTGAAAGAGTGAGGTCGGATCTTCAGCTTGAATTAATTGAGTTGCAATCCAACAATCATCCGAAGCAGTTGTTTCTAAATGTGCCAAAGTGTGAGTTTTACAAATCATTACCAAAAGATAGTTTCCCAAATTTAATATCTCATGCCCAGAAAATCAGCGCTATGTTTGCTTCTTCTTATATATGTGAACAAGTGTTTTCAACTACGAACCTTTGAAAAAATCATTTCAGAAGTAGACTAATTGACAAACATTTATCCTCCTTCCTTAAAATAAGTACATTTCACTTCGAACCTCAATATAAGGAACTTTTAAAAATAAAATCGTAATTTCATTAATCTCCTTAAATATTTAAATTAAAACTTGTATATCACTTTTTTTATTTCACAAATTTTTACTTGGTCCACCAAACTTTTTTTCGATTTTTGGCCCATAGCTAAAAAAGTTTGCCCATCTCTGGTGTAAGAGCTTGCTTTTTCCGAGAAATAGCTTACATATATATATTATATGATACTTAGGATATAAAACAAGTGGTGCGTGAGGAAGTAGTGCAGCACATAAAGGATAGCATTGGATTTAGTTTTCTATCTTATCTCACGACGCAAATGAAACGAAATTTAATACATTTACTGCCTATTATGCTGAAATGTTCCCAGCTCTTACTTATGGTGGTTTGTGTGATTTAATGGCTGCTGGTTTTTTAGATTGTTTTGAGGTTGACAGATGTAAAATATACACCTGAGGTAGAGAATGAGATTATGTTTTGCATCAAAAATAACCTCATTAATAAACCTCAATTTCAACCTAATTTACAACTCACAAGACCAATCTCATAAATAACTCAGAAATAATTTTTGTTTAGATCGGGTGATACTATTCAAAACTTAAATAAAAGTATTTGCTTGAAGTGTAGAAAAAATAATCCGTACACCTCAAAAACGACCTCCCTAAGCTAGTTGCTCTAGAGAGTATTTCCATCAACCTCAAAACAACTTTAAGGTTGTTTTAAAAGTCAACTTGGAATAAACTTGAAATCAACTTTGACACCTCAAAAGAACCTCAAATAACCCTCGAAGATACCTTAAACAAACCTATAAAGGGTATGTTTTTACAGATATAACAACTTATTCTGATTCATACAACGCTAATAACACAAAATAAAAATAAAGTAACACAGAAAGCAAAAAAGGTGAAAGAAATATTATTTAAAACGATTTTAAATTAAAACTTAACAGGATTAAGAAAAACTATTAAAATCTTTAAAACTTTCAAAAAATTGAAAAATAACAACGAAAATATGTAATCCCTTCGCCAACTCACACGATTATATGAACAAAAATTATTACGTTTTGATATTACCAAACGGAAATATATTAATTCAACAGTGTTAAAAGCGCCAAAAAAATGAGACCGATTCATTAACACAATTAAAAGAACACAAAAAATCAAGAAAAAATACAAATAAAATTCAATAAGAACATAAGTTCTTTTTTCATGCAATTTTTTCTTCCAAATTATCCAGTTTTTAAAATGTAAAACAGTTTCTTTTATACTCATAAAGGTGTTTATGCTACCAGCTCATATACCACATTCACCACAGCGAAATGCGGACACCATAGGCTTGGTTATTGAAAGAGAAAGAAAGACCAGCGAATTAGATTTGTTACGGTAGGTGCTCAATTAATTCTTTTACAGAATTATCGGAGAATATTTAAATATATCCTAACGAAGATTGTCCGTTAAAAAGTGCGAAATTCTCGAGGAAAGATTCTTATTTCCCAGTAATCGATAACTTTAAATAATAACAGAATATATATATATCATAAATTGAGGAAAATANTATATATATAAATTTAGCGCTTTTCAGCATTTTTTGCATTTTGTGAAATATTTTTAAAATGTATTTTATAACATTTTTATACTAAAATGAAATCCAATATTTTCAAGCAAGATAATGATACGCCACAAAACTGCCTAATAGGTTTCTTGTGTCGAGTTTACATTTCTTTTAATTTTTCGCTTAGAAACACCAAATTACAAAAGAAAACCTAATAATATATTTTTACATAGACAATCACATTGTTTCGTTATGCAACATAAAAAAAATTTAATTAAAATATTATTTTTCAAGTGATAAAATTGTACCAAATATTGTCCAACATATAGGAGTCTGGAGCTAAGGAGATAAAGCAAAAATTATTTAATGTTAGTTTCCCGCTAACTAAATCGATGCACTGTGCTCTAGTAAAGTTTTTAATTTTTGAGGGCCAACAAATAATAAAAAAACACCAGATTCAAGAAAATGCTAATTTTTCTGAAAACTTGCTGGGGAAAAAGACCTATTTGTAAAGTAAACTTCTTCAACAAACTATGTTTCAGTCATTTTCCTAATAATGTTTGTTTAGAGAGGGTTTTCACTGATTGAGCTGAGACGAGAATGATGCAAAAAGTCAATCTGAAACGACTTCCTATAAAGAATCCTGACAGATGTAAAATATCAACCAAATAAGGTTTGCAAATTGAAATTCAACCAAAGACAAAAAATGTTACCAAAATATGACAAATCATCTATAATGAAGGCAGGGCGAAAAACATCGAAAGGTGCTTACTTGCGAAAAGAAAGAAAGAAGCGGAAAGGAGCTTGAAAACACCTCATATTTTAATCCAGCATTCTAAATATTTTGCGTGTTTTTAGCCTCGCCCTTCTCATTTTTTTTCTATGGTCATATGCGATCTCTATTTTGAATGCGTTTGTGACAAGGTTTCTAAAAGTATATATTAAGAATGGGAATTGCAGAACACCCTATATTTTATCTAACAGAATATATTTAGTCCAAAGCTCAAAAAATTTGGGTGGATTGGTTCACCACCAAGGAATTGTTATTTATCTATTTTTTTGTTTATTTCTTGCAGGTCACTTTATTTGATGTTTTATACTTTCAACAGGAAATGTGACTTCCAGATCAAACTGAATATGCATATTACCTATTGTAGAAATCTCATGCTCAAAATGTATTATTTTTTAGGTATTACGTTGATGATAGTGACGAAATTCTGTATGAGAAATGGTTTTACTGTAAAAGTCTGGAAGAATTGGGCCCCCTGATAAAAGAATTTTTTGAATCTAAGCAGTTCATGACCGGAAGACCTATTCCAGGTAAAGTAAAATATCATAAAACAATGCATTGACAGCTTTTGTATCTAAGAAACTCAATACTATAAAGTCTATTTCAGTTGCTTAAATGCTATCAGCATGTGTATGTAAGGAAATGAAGGCCTGAAAAACAAGTTCTGGTGCTATGAAAAATTCCTTGAAATCTAAGAAGTCTATTTTATGTACTTAATTCTCGAAGTCTAAGAAGTCAATACTAGTACTTTAAAATAATTCTAAAAAACCCATTATAAATTATTGTATCTAAAGAATTCATTGACAGAAAGAATTCTGAAGATTAAACAGTAAATCACTGGACTGTTGAACTGAATAAAATAATTAAAATATTAAAATAAGAAATAAAATAATTAAAATAAAAAAGAGATAAAATAATTAAAGTAAGAAAACTACTGAAAATTATTTTTTACACCCATCCCACATTTTAAGTTCCAAGAATCCGAAATCGTCGCGAAAAAAAAGGTAATTTTACTGACCGCTTATGGCTACACCAAGGACCCAGAAAGCGTATGCCACAGTGGCACGACAGAGTGTTAATTGTAGCTCACGATGACTTATCCAAAAATTTAAGAACTAATTCTGATATAAAACAGAACAACGCACTGTTGGTGAAAGAAAATAAAAAATTTCAATAATTATTTAAGTACTGACTGCTTAATAATTATGCAGAATTAGGTTTTTACAGTTATTAATTTTTTTTATGTCACACGCAGCTTAACCGACTACACCTTTAAAAATGTTTATTAACAATATTTCATTTATAATTTTTAAAAACTCACTTATTGAACTTGTAATCAAAAAATCGTAGAAAATGTATAAATAGCATTTCATCTTTTTTTAAAATTTTTTTCCTTGTGTATTTTTGAAAATTTTTGAAACCATACACAATTTTTTTTTCCTTTTTACGGTGGGAAACTTCATAAAAAATCATGACTAATTTCGCATCAGAACACTTTAAGCAGAAAAAATTCTCAGTCTTTCTTGAATCACATTCAACAAGGATTTGTAATTATTTGCATTTAAAGGTACTAAGCACATCTTTACGGTGAAATCGAGGGAAATCCCGATCTTTCAAAAGCATCTACAGAATTTTATCTAATTGACGTAGCTTTGTTATCATACTTATACAAATTGAAATATTAAAAGACTACCAAAATTTCCTATTTTTAATGTATTTTTGTTTTCTCAGTTATTTATACAAATATCCAATTTTTACATCGAAATAATGAAATAGATGTACATTTTTGAATTTTAAAATTTACCTGCATGTTAAAATGGATTATAAAATTTAGTCACTTGGAGAAAAGTTTTATCATTATTTTGAAGAAAAGTTTTACAAACATATTTATAATATTGGCAGAATACTTTCAATAAAGAACGTTTAATATCCTATCAAATTCATATTTTAGAGTTTGGCAAATAAATATTTTTTTTTATGAATAAAAGGATTAATGATGCTTTTGTATATCAAAATTTGAGTTCAATTATAACCATCAAAATATCACTTAAAATTTTAAATTTCGCTTTTCGAGCTGTGAAAGAACTAGATTCATTCTTTGATAAAAATAAATAAATAAATATAATTGTTTGTAATTTTATAATAAAATTTTAAAAAAATTATAATTTTAAAATGAATTTTAAAAAATTGTGCCAGTTTGTAAATCAATGAATGAAGGTAGCTAGCAGTTTATTGAAATATGATTTGCGTTTACCCTCAGAGATGGCAGCACTATTAATAAATTTTTACTGATTTAAATATAGTACTAGATGTATGGTGCTGCTATCTATATGAAAAATATTTAATTTCTGAAAATCTTTATTTCCCTTCATTCCTTATTTCAATTTGTGCAATTGAATTTAATTTTGCTCTTAGTAAAAGAAAGCATATATTGTATTTGCAAACGCACTATTGATAAATATTTACTCATTTAAATAATGTACTAGATGTATGGTGCTGCTATCTATAGGAAAAAAATTTATCTCTGTAAATCCTAATTTCTCTAAATTCCTTATTATAATTTGTGCAATTGAATTGAGTTTTGTTCTTAGTAAAAGAAAGCATATCTCGTATTTGTAAACGAATTAATCGAGGTAGAGAGATTGCTGAAGCAATTTTAAATTGTAGCTTTAAACTTTCCCACATAGATAAGAGGAGCACTCCTATTAATAAATTTTCTTGAACTAATGTTTTTAGTGTATGGTGCTGCTATCTGTGAAGAAGATGGTTTTAAAAGGTATTTTAAATAGCAATAAAATAAGGATGATATTTCATTTTATTTCCTTATAAATTCATTTTCGAATTAATGAATAGTGTTTACTTAATTTTTTAAGTTGCTAGAAAGTCTCATTAGCTAGTTTTTCCCCCCTTCGTTTTCGTAAATATAGTTTATAAAATCAGTAAAAAACTTCAAAGTTACATATTTTTTTAATCAATTAGACAGGTTTTAAGTAATTAAAATTTAATTATTTATAAATTATAATGAGAGATTAAGAGCCAGAATGGCAAACGTATAAAAATAGTTTTTTAAGCCCAAGATCAGTGAAGCTTCGACTCTTGGATCTCAATATATACAAAAAAAAAAATCCTTTGACTAAGCTTAATAGGTTTAAATAAAGCAGGTTGGGCAGATTACGTACATTTAATTATCTATTCAATAGGTCGAATGAATGTAAAGATTCATTTACTTGGTTTTATTGTGTTTTAGTTCTTCAGCAGTGCTATTAAGCTAAATTATTATTTATTTAATTATTTTCGGTTTAAAATATCTTATTTACTGTTTTAAATTCATGTATTTTATTTCATTTCGGTTAAAAAAAATCCCTTGTAAATAAAAATCATTAATTTTGAAAGAATGTCAAAAAAAAAAAAAAAAAAATTTNAAAAAAAAAAAAACTATTTTAAAATTAGTGAAGGTTGGATTTTAACAAAGTTGCTAATTTTTAGGCTACCATAAAATTTCAAAAGCACAATTAAGAAGATTAAATATTTTTTAAATGTTAGCATATACTGTACGGAACAAAAGTTATTTTGGTTCTGATGATAAAGGGTATAGAATTGCAGATTTTTTGGGCCAAAGACCCTTAAGTAGAAGTCGCCAATCTAGATTTTTCGCCCACTAGTTTTCGGCAGGCGGCATAGTATTATAATGTCCTACATGTGTTGGGAGTTTGCTTTCATTATTCATTCATTTATTGGCAAGGAGATAGAATTTTATCTAAATAGTCTTAAATCTCGATATATTTAAATTCCATTTTCTAAAAAGTTGAAATTGCTGGTCGCTGCGGATTGCTGATCAACTTAGATGTTACAATTTTAAATGGCATGATTTTTAGTGATATCAGTTATTTTACAGGTACTTTATTCGAAGATAAACCAATAAAGCAAGATTTCGGTCGAAAATTACACGATCCTTTTAGTTTGAAAACTTGGCTACATTCTAACCAAGATGCATTAGAGAAAGTAGGGAAATTGAAGCTTTTCGACGGAAGTTTCGTGTCTCGAGTAAGTCACAGTTACAGTTCTTTATAAGATTAAATTTAAAATGAATAATTATAATTAAAGAACTCGTGAATTGTAATTCATCCAAGATTTTTGAAGTAGTTTGCGCGATTCAAATTATATAAAAAACGTCTATAATTTTAAAAATAAAGATTATGTCCGGGCTTATAAGGAAATTATAATTGATATCAGGCTTTGTTCGAATGATTTTCAGAGATTGAAACTAGTAACCACTTTAACAAAATTTAAAAAAAAGCCATTAATTCGATTTAAAAAAATTGAAAGCAAATCCAAAATGAATGCTTTAAAATGGCTGCATTGGTATTATTGTAAGTCGTACACCTGTATTTCACAAGGGTTCCATGTTTTATACCTATAATATGGAAGCGAAACCATACATTTAATGCATAAATGCAACAATATATTTACAATGTACAGGCAATACGCGAAAAAAAAGAAACGCTTTGAAGGAATTTTGATCTAATAATAGGGCTTCATGCACTAGGACTCAATCTGAATGGTTCAGGAGGGTGATTTGAGATTGATAATTGATAATTGCAGACGATATTTTAAGTTACGAAATCAGACACAAAAACTTACGTTCTCTAAACAAACATACTTTATTTTCGCCAAAATTTGATTACCACAATATGGGGGGGGGGGGACAATTTGGAAAATATGGTGGTCCCAATAGTAAAGAAAGAAGAATAGTCGAAAGCTCATTCACCTAATGTTAATTTCACTTTTTGCGTATTTTCGCCTTACCTCCAGAACTTCGAAGCGAGTTATGAAAATTATAGCACACAGCAATAAGTTTGGTTTATCCAAAGATAATTCCATTCAAAACATAATTTGTAATGATTATTTATAAATTTTTGTTATTCATTACTTTTTGTTATTTTACTTCATAATAGTCGTAAATTGTTGAATTGTAAGATGCAAAAAATTTTACATCATTTTAAAGAAAATTTTAATAAAGAAAAAAAAAACAAATTTCAAACTAAATGGATCGGGTAGTTGAAAAGGAATCAAGATTTTAAATATTAAACTTCTTTAAAATTTGATTTCTCAGGAAAAATTTGACCTATTTCTTTCAAATCATTTGTTTTTCCTTGTTGAAATGCATCTTTAAATGAAGTAAAAATTTATATACCTTATTATTCAAAACTTTTTCGACTATTATTAAATAAAATAATAAAAAAATATTCATTAATTATTGCATGGAATTATCTTTGGATAAACTAATTTTATAACTGTATTTAAAATTTTCTTAGTTCGCAAAAGATCTTCTCGAGAAATGACGAAATAGTCAAAAATTAAAATTAAGAAATCAAATTTTTGGACCGCTATTCTGACAAAACTATAGGGACCATATTACCCAGATTGCTGCTACCTCTTTTATTTTGGGGGTCAAAAATCTAAATACTACGAAAAAATTTTATGTTTATTCAGAGAAAGTACGTTTTCGTGTCTAAGGTCACCTACACTAATAAGTTAGCTTATTTTAGGTCACCCCCTCGAACAATTAAGATTGAGTGTTAGCGTGTTAAGATTCGATCACTTGATCAAATGTTATTTAGGGTGTTTTTTTTTTTTAAAAAAAACAGTACAAAAATAACTGTATGCTTACAATGTACCAAAAGAACTGCCTGCTTCTTCACGAAACCTTCACCAACTAACATTGGCTACATCTCACTTCACCAACAGTTCACTTTTTCGACTACCAGCTTACTTTTTGTAACCTGGTAGTGCTTATAATAATAATAAAAACATAGAAATTCTCAATTTAGATGAAGTAAAATAGTCAAATTGTCAAAAAATTGGATATATTTGTCTTTGCATATATCTTTCCATCGCAACACATTACATTTATATGGGTCATTCTCAGGAAAACTGTCATTTTTCAGTTCATAAAATCCCAAAAAAGTAAAGTGAATAAAAAGCTCTGAAACTTTCTATATTAATAGAAATATGTAATGGCATTATAAAGAAAGTATATATCCTATAAATTATACTTAATATTTAAATTAATTAATTTTTTAAATAATTAATTTATAATTATTAATTTATAATAATTAATAATTAATTAATTAATTTAATAAATAAATTAATTAGTTTAATAAATCAATTTATTAATTTATTTTTCAAATTAATTAATAAGTAAATTAATTATTTTCACTATTTAAAAAGTGAGGGAATGACACTAATAGTGAGGGAATGATATTTTATTTTAATACATGTTTTTATCTAAGTTACATCTACCTAAAGTTTGAAAATGATAACATACTAAGTATATCTAATATTTATTATAATTTAGTCTTATATATTTAATAGTTTTTACAGGTTTGGGAAATAAAATTGGCTGGCACGATTGAACAAAAAAAAATTTAATAATATACTCATCTTGAATCATTCCCTCACTTCAGCGTCATTCCCTCACTTTATACACTAGTGAGGGAATGACGAATTCAATAAAATTTAAAAATAACAGTTAGGCCTAATTAATTTCTGAAGTCAATCACATACAATTATATTCATACAAGAAAGCAACATATAATTATCCACTTTCTCGATGAAGTTGTATTTTATTTTACTCTAAAAAATGACATGAGGGAATGACAAATGTAAAAAATTTTACCTGGTTTGATTCATTCAAATTTATTCCACAGCAAAGCTTCTTTAAGTTGAAGATGGAAACATACTGCAATTTTGTTCTATGATGCCAGTTGTTAACTTCTGAAGTTTTTATTAAAATATTTTTATTCTAAGAAGATTGCAGGTGATAAGAACATTGTTGTGAGGGAATGACGCGAAACACTGGGGACAAAGTTTAAAATAGTGCTGTGTTAATATTTTTATCAGAAATTAAATTTAAAATTGATTTTCTGAATTCTATATTTCAGTATTCTGAAATAAAAAACACGAATTTGTAAAAAAAAAAATTTTATTTCAGAAACAATTTTTTTCTTTTTTTAAATCAGCAGTGGGGACAAGTGAGGGAATGACATATTGGTATATTTTTATTACCTAAAATTAATAAAAAATAAAAATTGATAATTTTATTTTTATTCTTTTGTTAGCTTGCATTCTGAAGGACACTTTCCATGAAAATTTTTTTTTCATAAGTTGTAAAACAAACAGAAAATATACTGGGGACATGAAAATGACTGTTTTTGTGAGAATGACCCATATATAGAAAAATGTTTCACTAAATCATGATTTCACATAATCTAAAATAATCTCTTTACGATTCTTTTTCGGCATCCCCCACTTTGAGATTTCAAGACACTTTTTTGTTATTTTAAGATATTTCTATTTTATTTATTTATTCATTTACTTTTTTTAATGAAATGTGCCTTTTTTTCTCCCTTTATTTAGCATTTAATTTAACTTTTAATGAAAGTTTCACCTCGAGTTCTTTTTCTGTACTTGCATTAATTCAATTTTATGTGAATTTAGGGAAGAAATAATATTTCAAGTTAATATAAATGTCATTCTTAGGTCTTAGGGATGGGATTCAAGTCATGGAATTTTGGGATTACTAATAACACTGGAAATTTACTTCACTTTTCGTTATCACACACGCTAAATACATATATAAAGATTTTCATGTTTATTAATAAATAGATATATTCTAGATATTGGCCATCAACCTAATTTCAGGGGAAAAGGAACTGCAAAACTTCAAAAACAAAATTTTATTTTATTTTATATTTTTATGTAGGAATATATCTTTTTCTCTGCTTAGGTAGTTTGAATTAGAGAGTTTAGTTTGCCTTTTTAAATTTATGCATTTTTTTTTAACGCGCTTGCAATTAATATTTGGCGACACTTTGCCGTTACTTTGTTAACCCTTAGTAGAGTTTTGTTTTCAAAAAGGGCTATCACGAATTCTGAGTCTGACTATATTCGAAACACTGAGCCGTGATGATTCAGGGGATAGAGCATCCGCCTTCCAATGGTGTGAAACGAGTTACAATGCCAGCAATGGATGGTCGATACGAATTCCGCATCTGGCTTGCATCGACCACAGTGATGACGTAAAATATCCTCAGTGTTAGATGAATCATGGGTTAGAGCCCCCTTTCAGTCAGGTTAACCCTTGGAGGTTTTCGTCGTTTTCCTCGCCATGTGACCGAAATGCGGGTTTGTTCAATCAAAAAGTCCTTCGAGAAGGCAAATTTTAATAATATACCCAATATTTAATCCAGGAGTAATTTTAATAATTATACCCAATATTTAATATTTAATCCAGGAAACCCCAATGTTTAATCCAGAAGTTTCCTTGTCTTCTTGATTGGGTTCAAAATTACAAAACTGCGGAGTTGAACATTTGTAGTCGCAAACCCAAAAAATTTGGCTAGCTGTTCATCGACAGTTATGAATTAAAGTAAGATGAAAAAATGTTGGAAACTGTCATTATCTATCCCAATGATGTCAATACCAAGCTTTCACAATAACTTAATGACATTTTTAATGCCAGCCATTTAAAATATCATAACATTATAATGACATTAAAAATGTAACGATGTTTTTATTGACATTTTAATGAAAATTTTAATGTCATTTTATTTGTTATAATTTAGCCTTAAAAGGGGTTAAATTATGTCAAATAAAACCTAAATTCCAAATTTATTCTGGTTATTGTTTCAAAATCTTAAGTGCATCATTTGGATAGTTTAACTTTATTTTGTTAAAAATGAAGTTTGTAATAGAATGCGATGAGAATACTGATAATATTTAATTTATAATCGAAAACAGAAAAATGAAACAGTTTTATAGTTTCTATATAATGAGGCTAATGAAAAAGATATCTGCATTTCCACCCATTGTTGTAATAATATTTAATTCGAAGAACAAAGCTAAACTAATAATAATAACTGGAATTTTCTGCTTTCCAAAAGATTCTTTTCCCAATTTTTTAAAATAAAAGATGCAAATAGTGTAATTTGGATCTCGGTACTAGCTTAGTTACAGTTACAACTTTAAAGTTTGTTTTTACA